ATGTTTAAAGATAGGTTTCTAGAAATACAATCAAGAATGACATATAAAAATCTTTGACAATTTGAAATACAAAACTTCTATGTTGTTGGAGAAAGTCACGAGTAGAATTGCAATAACAACTGATATGTGGACTTCCAATAGTAACAAAAAAGGGTTCATGGCTATTACTGGTCATTTCATTGATGATTCATGGAGGCTTCAAAGTCATATTTTGAGATTTGCTTATGTCCCTGCTCCACATGATAAAGATGCTTTGTGTGGTGCTTTGGTTAATTGTTTGTTTGATTGGAATCTTGAACGAAAACTATCGACTATCACAGTTGATAATTGTAGCACAAACAATGCTATGATTAAAACTTTATTAGATGAGAAACTTAATAAAAAAAGATTTGTTGTTGAGTGGTCGAGTATTTCATGTGCGTTGTGCTGCACATATTGTAAACTTGATTGTGCAAGAAGGGTTAAAAGTGATAGGAGATAGTATTAGCAAAGTACGTGATAGTGTCTTGTATTGGATTGGATCAGCTGGCAGAATTGAGAGGTTTGAAGAAGCTGCACATTTGGTTCACTGTTCTTGTTATAAGAAGTTGGAGTATGATTGTCCTACTCGGTGGAACTCAACATATTTAATGTTGAGAACAGCTATAGAATACAAAGAGGTGTTTAACAAGTTGAGTCTAACTGACACAAATTATAAGTCGTATCCAACTGAAGAGCAATGGAGTAATGCAGAAGATGTTTCTGATAAGCTCAAACTTTTTTATCATATCACTGAACAGTTTTCAGGAACTCAATATCCAACTTCTAGTCAATACTTTACAAAAGTTTGTGAAATTAAGCTAGAATTGGAAGCTTGGGTGAAAGAGCTTAATCCTTTGATCAGCGATATGGCATCTGTGATGTTGTTGAAATTTAAAAAATATTGGGATGATGTGCATATTTTGATGGGAGTAGCTGCAATCTTTGATCCACGGTACAAGATGAGGTTGGTAGAGTTCTTTCTTACACTAATTTATGGTGAAGAAGCTTCAACTAAAATTCAAGAAGTTCGATCCAATTGTTATGATCTCTTTCAAGATTATAAGAGTAAATTATCTGCTCCACATGATTCATTAGCATCTAGTTCTAGTGAAGTCTCTAGTTTTACTCAGGGTGATCGGCTTTCGAGCTTTGATAGATTTGTAGCTTCAACTGGAGGTACCGTGGAGAAAAGATCAGAGTTGGATATGTACTTAGAAGAAGACCTACTACCTCGAACCCCTTCATTTGACAATTTGAGTTGGTGGAAGACAAATGGATTGAAATTTCCTACATTGCAAAAAATGGCTCGTGATCTCTTAGCCATTCCCGTGTCTACTGTTGCTTCAGAATCAGCATTTAGCACTAGTGGGGGGTTGATTAGCCCGCATCGGAGTAGACTCCATTCCACTACTTTGGAAGCTTTAATGTGTGCTCGCACGTGGTTATGGAACGACTTAAATGGTAAGTAATTTTCTCATTATTGTCTTTAGGTATTCAATTGTTTAATTACTATATTGATACATTGAACTATGCATTTTTCCTTTTAGGTATGACTTCAGTGGTTGATCAAGTTTCATGTCCAACATTGCTTGATGAGGAGGACGAGCCAGATTCAAGTGGTTTATCGCAACTATGAGACCCTTGACATGCTTACATTCCTTTTGTTCCTCTCAAATTTGGATTGCCACATAGCTACTGTTTAATATTGACTATTTTTGTGGTGTAATTAGTGGTGTCGAGCTTGTATTGTGCAACTATGAGACCCTTGACATGCTTACATTCCTTGTATTGTTTTTGTTGGATTATTAGGTTGAGTCCATCTCTCTTTTATATGTTCTGTGAAACTTTTGGAATTAGTTTGGTAATTTCACCACATATGCTCATATGAAAGTTTGTGATGCACTTTTATGTCTGAGGTATAGTACATTAGCAGTATATCTCAAAATGTTACTATGCGAGCCATGAGATTCTTATCTAAATGTGTAATTTCAGTATGCTCTTGCCTGCAATAAATGTCATATTATAGTCCAAGTTGAATGATGGGAAATTTAATTTGCCTGCATAGGATAATTCAGAAAAAGTTCTACTGTGATCAAAAGAAAGAACTAGACATGAAGAGTCTTCAGGAAGGATGAATGAATATTATTTTTGCTTTTACTACTAAAATGCAGAATATCAACTAATGTATGCAAATACATATACTTGGATCTCGGACACTTGGGATATGCGCTAGTATATAGATCAGAAATAACTACCCATTACCCAAAGAAAGAAGATGGAATCACACGTAGTTGCTTTAACCCCATGTAGTTACACTAATGTCAATATGCAAAAGTTGATTGACCTCTCATAACGTATTGAGCTAAATCTTTTTCACAAGTGTTCTTGCGCTAATAGGGACACTTCTCTATAATAGGGAAAAAAGCATTAATGCATAAACATAATATTACAAATTTGAAAAAAAAAAAAATACAAGAAAGCCTAAACGGGGCAGGGCGGGGAGGGGCGGGGCGGGGCGGGGCAGGGGCAGGACAAAATTTGAAAAAATGCTAAATAGGGCAGGGCAGGGCGGGTCAAAATATTAGCAGGTCAAAGGCTTGCCCCGCCCTGCCCATGTCTATATTGCTACTAGTATGAACATTAATTTCATTCGGTAAAGCCATCAAATACGAAACTTGAAAAGAAAAAGGAAAAAACAATCCCACACTCTATATGTAGAAGTCAGCTGCGTGAAACAGAGCTCATTGTGAGTTGCGCTTTTGCTTGCTCTTTTCTTCCTTTCTCTAACAGAAACCCAAAAATTACCAAGTTTCAGCTAAAAAAAACATCCATTAAACACAGCCATGAATTGGATTCGAGGTGAATCAGTAGGTCGTGGAAGCTTCGGCAAAGTCAATTTAGCAATACCCAGATGCCAAAGCTCTCTGTTTTGTCCATCAATGGTGGTTAAGTCTTCTTCTGCTTCCTGTTCAGCTACTCTGAGGAACGAGAAGCTAATCTTGGATGAACTTAAAGGTTGTCCACAAATAATCAATTGCCTTGGGGACAGCTATAGCTACGAAAATGGCGAAAAGTTGTACAATGTCTTATTGGAGTATGCCTCTGGGGGTGATTTGTCGGATAAGCTCAAGAATTCCGGTGATAATAGATTGCCGGAATTTGAAGTCAAAAAATACACCAAGGCCTTGCTGAAAGGGCTACACTATATCCACAAGAGTGGTTATGTTCACTGCGATATTAAGCTTCAGAACGTTCTTTTAGGTGAAGATGGTCAAGTCAAAATTGCTGATTTTGGACTGGCAAAGAGAACGAAATCCAGAAAAGATGATAAATTGCGATGTGAGTTGAGGGGCACTCCATTATACATGTCACCGGAAATGGTAACTGGTGGCGAACAGGAGAGTCCCGCCGATATCTGGGCACTTGGATGTGTTCTGGTGGAAATGGCAACAGGTAATCCAGCGTGGAGATGCTCAGATATGACCAGGTTATTGATGACAATTGGAGTTGGTGATCAATTGCCCGAAATTCCTGAGAAATTGTCTGAAGAAGGAAAAGATTTTCTAAAGAAGTGCTTTGTGAAGGACCCGAGGAAGAGATGGACGGCTGAGATGCTCCTAAACCATCCTTTTGTAGCTGGTCAAAATTATGATGATGACACTGTTGCATTGAAGGACCAAACATGCGAGAGTGTCTCTCCTTCGACGTCTCCCAGGTGCCCATTTGATTTCCCAGATTGGGTATCTGATGGCTCTGCTGAATCCTCAGCAGCATGTTCAATTACATCTCTGCCCTCGCCGGCAATCAAAGAATTGCTGAATTTAAACGACGGGACATGGTCCACAGCGCCGGCTGAGAGGTTGAGAGTATTAGTTGGTGAACGCAGACCTGAATCTGAGTGGTCTACAGCTGATGGCTGGGTCAGTGTTAGGTGATGTCAATCATTTATTTTGGGTGATAGATGAACCTGAGATAGATTCAGATTTCTGAAGATTTTATGCTAGCTGCTTCGATTCTTTTATTTCTTTCACTTCAGTGATTAGGCTAGGCCAATTATTTCGATTCTTTTTGTACAGTGAAGACAGATACATCGTACATACAAATGATGAAATTAGGACATTCCTTATTTTCTAATATGATTACAATTGTTTGGGACTAAACCAAAAATTGTAAATCATTGGTTAAATTAATTAATTTTGTGCAATGAGGGGTTAAACCCAGTTAATGGTAATAACCTTAGATCTATAATCGGTGGTCATAAATAATAAAAGGACAATATTGAGAGGTGGTTAAATATGGTGTGCATTCAATGTCTCAACTCTCAAGATGATTAATGATGATGGAATATCGAGCAATAAATAGTACTAAATAGCATTAAAGTAAATAAGGAGAAGAATTCACCCAATTTTGAATGAGGTGGATGATTCCTCTTTCTCACAAAGATGAATGATAGATAAATACTAGAATACTAGGACCCTTCTCGGATCAGATGGAAAAGTGTAGAATAATAGACCATCAAATTTCTTTAGAAAGGTAACTTTTGTATTTTATCTAGGGAGAGTCTACTTTTAAAGAGTGTTCTTATTAGAGAATATTACACACCTTTCACCCTATCTCTCTATCTATTTATATGGCCTAATCAATCTTAAAAGTACAATTATAGAAAAGATCCTATTACGAAACTAGTCGTTACTGTTGCTCCTGATATTTGACCTCAGCCATCATTGGCTGCCCGGATATGGAAATTATGTACTAGTCGACCTCGACCAAATTACTTTTCGTAATACCTTTTCATGTTAAATTTCCTTGAGGCAGATTTTAACCCATACAGTTAGTCCCTCCGCTTATTGAGGTCGACTCTGGACGACCTTGATGAGCGGACTTTGTTAATAGCGATTGAGAAATTTAGGCGAGTAGGTTGAATAGTAACATTTCAAACGCGATGGCTACGTGGCACTTTGCGATTCGTCTCTTATGGTCGCGTCGATTTAGAGTGACGTCACGACACCATGCGTCATGATTACGCGTTTTTCCGATGTATTGCATCGTTTCTCGTGCCTCTGCCGTCTCGATACCTGCGTTGGGCACTGACGGTTTGTTTCCTCGATACTAATTCTTGGGTTCTTATAAATAGAGATATGAGATCCTTTGCCTTATTCTTTGCACTCTCAAGTACTGAATCCTTGTGTTTCTTTCTCCCTTCTTTGTTAAGAGTTCCTACTCTCATTACCCTTACTCTCATATCCCCATCTTCACTTTTGGTGACTTTACTATTCATACCTCCTTTGTGCTTGCATCTTCTTCATATATAAACAAATAAAGAAGGTTAATACATCTTCTAATTTTGGGGGGGCATCTTACCCGGCTCCCCTGGCAGTGAGCATGCCTCCCTATGACGATGGAGTTGCCATTGTTGGAGATAAGGGTGGCATGTGGGCCGGTTAGGACCGGGCCCGGCCCAGGACCGCAAGCCCATATGGGCGGTGGGCCTAAACGGTCCTAACCGGATAGGACCGGGGATGTGGGCTGGGGTAGTGGGCCGGTCCGTTAGGCGAGGCACGCGAGACCGGTACCGTTTTAATAGTGGGCCTAAACGGTCCTAACCGGATAGGACCGGCTGGGTAGTGGGCCGGTTCAACCGGTCCTAAACAGGCCAACGGCTCCAAATTTTAAAAAAATCTGCCCGTTAGGGCATTTAAGAAGTAGCCATTTGGGCTGCCAAAATAGCCATTTAACCCCCCAACTTTGTTTAAACCCCAAACTTTTTATAATTACACTTTTTCTCTATTTTCAACTGTAAATACCCCCTCACTCTTTCGTTTTTCTCACCCAATCATCAATCTCTCTCTACTTTCTTCTATAATTGGTTACTTTATTGTTGCAATTTGTGAAAAATTGTGAAGTTGGTAAATTGAAGTCTTCAACGATAATTAATTTTTAACAAGTTGTTCGTCAATTGGGTAAACTCGTTCCAACTCTTAAGTTTTGATATATATTATAGTTTTGTTTGTTATATTTACTTTGTATTGTTTGATTAAATAAGATGGATTTTTCGTTAAAAAAGATGTTTAGTAAAAATAAGGGAAAATCCAAGAGTGGTGAATCTAGTGGTCAATCTATTCCTCCTCCAATTCTCCGGGCTCCCCTACCTAAACCCCATACCCGTCCTCCACCCGCTCCTATTCTTGCTAGTGATAATACTTTATTATAGTTTACTGATAGTCAATATTTACATAATGGTGGAGGTGGTGAACAATTAAACCATGAATATATGAATGCTCTTTATGGCAATCCAACTATAAATGAAAATGATGATGAAGAAATAGATTTTGATAAAACGCAACTGGATGACGATACACCCACTAGTCATGTTGTTGAACTTAACCCAACTAATAATAATCCAAATGATGCTCCGTCTGACCCTCCTGTTACTACCCCTACTTTTTCTAGTCAACCTTCTAAACGGAGCGAAACATCTCTTGTTTGGCCATTTTTTACTCAACTAAGAGAAAAAAATAGGGCTAAGTTTAAAACTTGTGGAAAAGAGTTAGCTTTTAAATATGTTGGAGGTCGCGGGAGGGGGGAGGGGGGATGGGAAGTTTGAGGAGACACATATTGCTACACCTTCAAGATAAA